GAATAATGTACAAGGAAATTAAAAATAATGGCTGAGGTCTGGTCCCATTGCTGATAATGGCAAAACTTGCATTAAATTTGAGCAGAGTGAGATTTGTTTGTTTGAACAAATCGCAAAATCTCTATTCTGTCAGTCCTTGACAGAGCCTTATTCCTCTCTGTTACTTTGTTGTCAGATGTAGCCTGTTTCAGGCTTGAATTTGGTTAATAAATAAGCAGCCCTCATCACCAAAGCCCTTGAAAGTGTACTTTTAATGCTTTCTAGAGTAGAGATGGATTACTGGATTAGCCTTATGGAAATAAATAGCCATAGTTTTCTCATTACAAATGCAAAAGATTTCAAATTGGAAAATGCTGAATCAAATATAACTCTCCATCTTTGTAGATTTATGGTTTAAGATAATAGACAAAACCAGGACAGTGATTAATCAATAAGAGTAAATAATTTTGTCAAGAGTAAAATTAAGCACATAATTTATTTTCACTGAAAAGAATAGCAATTTGTAAATTACAGAAACAAAATGGAAGTGCTGATTAAAAGGGTTATAAAAAAAGCTACAAAGTGGTGGTATTGTGTTCCATTTTAATGTGCAAATGAAAAGAGATATAGCTGAAAAGACAGTTGTAATAAAAAAACCTCACTGTGCTTTATTTCAATTTGTTACCTTAAAAAACCTACATGACTTTAAAATCTTTAATCATTTAAAGTTTCCTAAGCACAGATTCAAAGCAATATGCTTTTGGTTTTCTTCTAATTTCTTTAAAGATCCTATTACTTGAACATTTTACTTTGCTAAAACATTTGACTTGCTTTATCATAACGTATTAAGAAGTTTTTCTAAGAGAGGTGTATAATGCCAAATATTTAAACTAGCATACATTAATGCAACAGTATAACTCCTAACTTGAAAAAGATTATGCAATACAGAAAGTTATGATATAGGCAGCAGTCTCATACATTATTTAATTACAATTCTTGTATTTTATATCCTAATTTCTCATTTTCCTACATGAAGTTTTTTACTGTTTACAGAATTCAAAGCAATTATGAAGGAAAATGCTTGTTTCTGTTTTGATCTTGTTTTATTAAGGAAAAGTATTCTCTTTTTTAATTTCCAGTTTGAATGGACTCATATTTCTTAACAAAACTGTTGGTGGATATTGTCTTGGAATATTCTTTTTTCCCAGCAGAGCACTGTTCGAACTGTAATTCTTCTCTGCATGGCATAGGGGAATTGTTCCAAACATCGTGTATCATCAGTACCAAAGACTGATGCTCAGTGATCTTCACTCCTTGTCTCTGAAATATGGATGAGCATATTTATGTGTTGAAGAAGGGTTCATTTTTTTCTGAAACTCTAAGGTTTTATGTATTTATACCAAGAGTTCCATACAGAGCACATACAAATCAATACTCATAGGAAATATCTGTAATTAAAAGTCATACAAAATCATTTTTGAAAGCATGGAACACAAATAAAATATATCAAAACAAGACTTTTGAAATATTATGGATTCAAATCTTATCTGTACTTATTTAATACAACTCAGTCTGATACCTTACTTCATGCAGAGCAGGATCTCATTCCAAGAGCACTTCAATTAATATCAGTACTGTAGATTAGGTTTGTACTAAGCTTACTAAAACATATAATATTAACACATATTATTAACAATATTAACACTCTCCATTCAGACAACTAAGAGAAATATGTTTCACTACCATGTTTAAACATGATTATTTTGTAGAATAAACAAGGCCTAAAGAGTATTGACTCTAAGTTAATTAGAATTTGATTTAATGGACTTAGAGGAGTACAAATTAATCCTGTAAGCAGGCAGAAGGCTCCTTGGAAGAGTCTTGCTTACTGGACTTTGTAAGCAACATGTAGAATATAAAAAGGAACTTCAGATATCTATCATCCACTTTTTCATTATGGAACCAGGAAGTATATATTAAAAGCAATGGGGAATTACCTAGTTTGAAGGAGGAAAGTACTGCTTGACTGAATAGATTTGTTCCCTTTTCTAAAATCTAAGTTTATATGGTCCTGTCAGACACAGCTTTTAAATGATCCATCTTTGTTTTAAGGTGTTGCATATTTCAAGAAACTACTTGCAATATTAATGGGTGGTTTTTTATAACATAGAAACCAGAATACTAAATTTCAGTATCCATACTGTAAATGTGCCATTCTGGTTATAATAAATTAATCTTTCTCACTAGCTACTGCTGGTTGTAAGAATGAGGTGACACTCTTGTGTCCTTCCCAAAGCATTTTTGCTAATAAAATTCATCAATATATCTGATTAAGTCTTTACAGTCACTTTACCCACAGTAGCTTATTTATTTGAACAATTTCTGCTTTGGTATTCAGCCCCCCAAACAAATTAAATAAAGATGCAAAAGACCAATAAGCAATGCAGAACTGTTTGGCCTCCCCTTGCAAACAAGGAAAATATAGTGGGATGCAAGGCAAAAGAATTAAATTAAGCTGAGAAATAGGTGTTGCAAAGATTATCCTATTAAATTACATGTAATACCAGTGCAGAGGACTCAGACAATAGTTTATATTGAAAAGCCCCTGAATATACATGATTATCTTAATTTGTTCCAAACAGTGAATATGAAAATTAGGATTATGGGATTTATCTGACTTTATTTTTTTTCAGTAAAACCAGTAAGAACATTTTTATTACATGCTATTTTTTTTTCTTGCCTGTGATAAAATTATATAGTCTCTAAACCATAAAAAGGACTGCTTTATTTTCAGATATGCAGCAAATCTTCAGTAAAGTCACCAGGATGGGAACAAAGACCGTCGCAGAGGCACTGCTGCAGTGTGGCCACCACACCTCACTTACTGACCCATCCTACATGGGCTAGGGAATCTGCTCATCAGATCTCAGTAACCCCACTTCTCTCTCTTTTTGAGGAGAGTTTTAAATCTGACTAATGAATTTAATGGCTGTTTGTTAAAGTCTACTTCTTTATGCACAGAACTGGTCCTGAAGATCTGTACGAAAGCAATCTGGTTTATAGTTATTTATCACTTCCAGCAAAATTCTTTCTGCTCTTGTAAAGCTGAGCAGGGGCATACATTTAGAGAGACGATGCATTTAATTCCTGGACCTCTTTGAAATAAGGTAGTCATATACACAAGGCTTAAGCCCAGTTCTGTAGTTATAAATACTTAGTTGAATGGTCTCAGTGAATATAGTGTGATTTCTAATGAGTTTGTATTTTGGTACCTCAGTGTAAATATGGGCCTTGATCCTTAAAGAACTGTGCAGGAAATTGATTCTGTATGATGCAAATGACTCTGTTGTCATGATGAATCTATTCTGTTCAGGAAACATGTATGCAAATCTTTGCCAGATTAATGCCCAAGTTGCCAGAAACACAAAACATTACAAGGAAAATCAACCAAATATGCAAACTGAAAATCCCCAGATTACTTAATAGTAGTTTCTTATATTCTGTGCTTTCAGTAAATGTAGATAATTCTTTAAACAAGAATAATGAAGACAGCTTTTTTATCAACACATGCCTTTCCTGCCTTTGGATATTGTCTATCACACGTAAGAAAAGTAAATATCTTTTGGATTTCTGTGTTCTTGTTATGGTGTAACTAATAATTGCTATGGCGAAAAATCTTCTCCAGTGGTGCTTCAGAAACTAAATATGATTTTCATAATCTGCAAAATCAGCATGCCATTTTTTTATCAGGCCCAAAGAGTTCACTAGAGATCATGAGGTGTAGTGATCACTTAATGTGTGTAGTACTTCCTCCTTTATTTAACTTCTTTTGCAGCATTGCAGAAGAGGAGTGTGTGAGCAGTTCCCCATCCTTCTCCAGTGGAGATGCACCTGATAGTAATACACTTGCAGTGGAGATTTTTTTCAGTCATCCCACAGTCCCTAGTTCATCAGTAGGCCTCTGCCACTGGTCTCCTTATTCAAATGAATGAGACTTGATGAAAGCAAGTGACTTGTTTCTGTTATTTGGTTGTTTTCTCTCTAGTAAAGTAAAGCAACAGAAGTCAGCAACTCTAAATGAAACTGAGAGATGTGTAAATGTTTTAGGAAAACAGCACCATGTTCCTGACCAAAAAAAAAAAAAGGAAAAGAAAAGAAAATCATGGAAGTCAGGTTTTCTTAATCACCAGGAAGCCATAGGTCCATGTGTGAGTTTTGATTGACCTGAGTAAATAGACTCTCATCTATAAGAGTTTACTTCTTACTGAAATGCCACCACAAAATGCAGGCAGGCTATCTGCTTATTTCCTGTGCTTCTTGCTCCTGCTCCAAGCATTGGATGTCCTGCAGGCTGTGGTGATTTCCAGCAGCTGTAAAGCTTGGGTTGCACTTCTGTGATATGGCAGCGAGCTCCTTAGCCTGCTTTGCCATAGCAGTATCTAGACACTCGTGCTTGGTCTGTATGTCAGGTTATAAGTGCTTTAGAAATGGGAATATACTGGTCAATTCAGTTTCATTGGTTTACATGGTGACTGGAAGACAGCCATTATTTCTGTATGGGCTTGATATAATTAGACAACCACCTAGAGCTATTTTTTTTGGCTGATGTTTTTGTTTTCTTAAAATGCAGAATAAGGAATGCATTAAAATGTACCGCTTTATTACTGTAAGCTGTACATATTTGTTTTTCCTTGTAAGAAGTGCCAAACCCAGCTGAGTAAAAAAAACCAAGGGGTTGTAAAGGGCAAGCACTTGGTAGGGAATGCACCCAGGTGTGAGTGAAGGCAGGAGCCACAAGTGCACTCCGGGTGAGGGCGTCTGCCACTCTCAGGTGAGCAAAGGTTTCCCACTGCGAACCGAAACCAGCAGAAACCAGGAAACAAAAAGAAATATTCAGTTAAGCTGTCCACGTCAGAGACTACTGAGGAAACAGGCAGTTCAGCTTGGCTAATGATTACCAAGACAGACTTTGCCTACGTTAACTGCTGATCATATGACCGGACCCCACCTGAGCTAAGAAAACACACATCCCAAGCAGTAGGAGTTGAGAAGCCTCCCTTGCTTAGATGTTCTGACATTACTGTTTTGCTGTAGCAGAAGAGGCTCCACACTTTTCCATTGTTCCCAGAGCTCAGCCCAGCACAGCCGTTGTGTTGCTTTCCTGTTCCAAAAAGGAAGTGAGAAATTTCTTCCACGTGTGCGCTGGCACTTGAATGCTCGGGTTTCACTCCCTAACTGGGAGCTGCCTGTAATGAGCTCTCAGTGGGGTTTGGAGAGGAGCTTCCAGCTGTGCCAAGAGTTGTTTCATTTTGTGCCAAAGAAGGAGGGGGAGAAGAAATCTGCAAAAAGGTGAAATGCTGATGGTGCAAAAACTGGTCTAAGGGTCTTGCAGCCAGGAAAAGCAAAAGAAAAGCAGAAGCAGAGGAAGGAACAAGAAGCCAGGATGGGAAACTTTTGCCAGAAGCACTGCCCCTGTTTGGAACCTTACATCCCCTGCTTATTCTTGGGGACAAATGATGAGCAGGATGACAAAGTGGGCCAAGTCTTCGCCAACCTTGCTGTGGTAAGGCCTGACTTCCAAGCAGGACAGAAAGACCTAGAACATAAGATAAAAGAGAAACCTCTACCTCCACTGCCTGGCCAGCATCTAGCGAACGTTTGCACCTTTGTGGCACTGTTTGACTACGACGCTCGCACTGAGGAGGACTTGAGCTTTCGAGCTGGGGATAAGCTGGAAGTGCTGAATGCATCCCATGAGGGCTGGTGGTATGCTAGGCTCCTCCTGCCAACAGGGTCAGTCTGTCCCGGACGCAAACTCGAGGGCTACATCCCTGCTAACTACATAGCTGCTGACCAGAGCATTGAAGCTGAGCCGTGAGTAACCCACATAATGTGCACTGCAGACTGTTTTCTGTTGTGTTGAATGGGTTTGGGACAGGAAGTTACAGCCTTTTCCCTTGCTGAGTAGTGCCCTGCCACACTCAACCTTTGTTGATCCCAGTGGTGGTAGCGCTGGGCATGTGAAAGGAAAAGGCACCGTGGTCACAAGAAAATAAATTACAAAAGGCAGAATATGGAGAGGTTTTATTTTGGTTAAAGTAATTTCCCTTTCTGATATACCCTAATCACTTGTTTAAGAACCATCTGGGAAGATCAGTGCGCTTTGCTACTGTGATAGTTCATTATTTTTATTGGTGTAACAGTAAGTGTGTGTTGGATGCTATGCAGAGGGTGAAAATGTATGACTCCTGCCCTGAACAGCATTCAGCCTAACAAGCTGCAAAGTTACCAATTAATCAGAGTTACAGGAAGCTACCTTTACACCTTTCAATCTTCTTACAAATGATGGGTGAGTCTCTAACAGATAAGTTTCTTATGGTTTCTTCTACATTATTTGCTTCTTTGGATGGAAATCTCTACTCTCAGGACAAACTTAACTGGAGGAAGTTAAGTTAACTGCAGGGGGCAAAAGAGTAGATATAGCAATGGAGTACAAATGGAAGTTGTTAAACTTTCACTGAATTTAATTATGCATCCCATGTTTTTCTGCCCTTTCAAAACATGCCCAATCTTATTTAATATTCTGATATAGAGCAGAAATCACAAGGAATCAGTCACTTGGCTCCCTAGTGAGGATGAGTAAGGTCTGAGTCAGCTTGGGCTTCACAGTCACTTCTGCATGTTGCAGTCAGAGGCAGCATTTGCTGAAATTCATCTGACTTCAGTTTTAGAGATATGTTTTGGCAAAAATTATCAGTGGGTAAAGAAACAGCAGAAAAGGCATTCATTATTAGTGTCAGAATTAATGTTGTCTTTAGAGGGATGATGTTGCAGCTTTCAGTTAAATCTCATTTGGACCTGAAACATCATCTCTGACCTGATCATCTCACTGTATTGCCAAGGGCTAGGAAAATTGGCTCAGAGATGATTATGCTAGTCTTTTATCATCTGTAGGATTTGTGCTAGAGGCATTTTAGGGCAGGTATAGGATTCTTCTCTAACATGAAGACTTTAATTTCCAGAGTCTGACCAGCTGTTTCTATATTTCGGTATTCAGACAGACAACACTTTCAATAGTCATGCTCAAAAAAATTTTTCCAATTGCAGAAATTAATCTGCAGGGAAGGCATTTTCTGAATCACTAGAGAAATGGTGGTAGGCTTTAATTCAGCTCAGTTTGGCCTTTGCTCCCTTTCTAGAGCTAGCTTTATTAGAAGTCACCTAGGATTTTTTCATGCTGTTAATACTTAGAAAGTAATTTTGCTCAGTTATAAAACAATGTTTCAACTCTTAAGGTCCTTCTTATATTTCTATACCTATAGCTTCAAATACAAAGTTAAGTTTGCCGAAGTGTGTTGTTGTGTAACCTCTGTTTTTTCACTTGTTACTGAAAAAAATTTTTTTTACTCTTCTTATATACTTTTCTCTCTTTAATAATAAAGACTAAGTTACAGCAAAACATTCTTCTTTATCTATTGGTAGAATACTGGAGAGGAAAAAATGGAGAGCTTTTACAGCTCTCAGAGTAATTTCTCAAAGATGAGTTTTTAATTTCACAGCAAGACTAATCTGGCTAAACATATTGTCTTTTCTCAGATTTCTTTATAAGTCAGTTGGCTTTAGCAATCTTCATATATATATAAGACTGTTTGCTGTCAACCCACACACATACAGCCATAGACTTACTCAGGTTAGGAAGGGCCTCCGAAGGACATTTGAACCAGTCATCCCAACTCATACCTGGCCAAAATAAATATAGACTCTTTGCTTTGTTGAGCATTTCCAGTCGAGCTTTTCAACCTCACGGTGAGGATTTTTTTGCCTTGTGTCAAAATGTAATATCCCTTGCTACAATTTCCTCCAAGAATTCCCTTTCACCCACCTCCTGTATTTCACACCTCTGTTATCCTAACGAAACAGTTAGAGCAAGAGTAATGCTGGTTTAAAGAACTAACCTTTGTTTTCCCTAAAGTAAAGACTGCAAGTAGCAAAAGAAGTTGTTCTAGTGTCTCTAATTAAAATTCAATGGTTTAATCATACTCTCTGCCCAAACTTAAGTTTATCTTCTCTCATCTTTCCATTTTGATTTTAATTGCCATTGGTGTTTGCCAGTTGTTCATGGACATGATATAGACATTTGTGGAAACAGGCGAAGTTTCTAATGCATCCTTGCATCCCGTATAGCAGTCCTGTATGGTCCCAGCACAGAACTGACAAAGAATGGAAGACTTACAATCTCATGCTTACCTGCCAAAATGCATATGTACCATATACTTGCAGTGTATACTTGACCTAATCAAATGCACATTTTGTAGCACCAGACAGCTACTGTATATCTGCAGAGACAATGTGAATTTTAACTTTTTTCTAGACTGCATCTTCAACTTAATAGACCAAGGCAAACTGGCTATACTGTTCTGAGAAAGACTTGATTTATGGTGTAACTCTTAGGAAGCTTGTGAAGAAAACCAAATTGACCATATTTTTTAGCACCTGATTTCAGTATGTTTGTGTAGAAACTATTAACAAATTTACATTCCAAGGCATGCATGGCTACTCCATAAATTCACTTGAACAAAGGGATGAAGGAAGGAAATGCTGTATAGTGACTGAGAGATGACAGAACTCTGTAAGTTTAGCCAATATATGCTTGGAAGCTGCATGCAGAGCAGCGACATTTCTTTTACTAATCATTTCAGTTTTGCCTGTGATCTTCAAGATTTTTAACAACAAAATATTATCTGGCCCTCTCTTATCAACATTTTGACATGGTCTTTCTTATAGAGAAATTAGAGATCAGATAATCCATCTGGGTCTGTGTTGTCCATTCTGGGAGAGAATAATGCTAAGTCATTGCTTGTTCTTAGCAAGTGTTGCAGCAGACCAGTTTGTCTCCTTGCTGAAGCGTGTGTGAGTTTTTATCAGGGAGAAAAGCTTTTTCTTAACTCTTCCTTGGTAAGAAAAAGAATGAAGTAAAGTAAGAAAGAAAGTGAGAAACTTCTTTAGATAACAGATTTTCTTCCTGGAAGTCTCTGACTCTGCCCAATGTGATTGAAGTAGTGCTGATAAGGTGGATCAATAACTGGATGAAAGGGCAAAAATGATGTGCAATATCTCCAGTCTGGGGAAAACAAAACATAAACACTGTTCATATCAAAGGGAATTTTCAAGTATCCATGGCTATCAGAATGCTCAAGCAGAACTGAGAAAGAATGAGATTTCTTTACTGTGTTGCTCTCCTCAGACCAACAGTCATTGGTAGAAGTTGTATGCTAAAATTGCAGGGTCACTTTTTTTATACTAAATTTTGCTGATTTTGCTGATATATTTATATAATAGAACTAACTTATGGCAAAAGTCAAACACTTCTTATTTGTGCATGATATCTTGTTAAAAAAAGTTTATTTTGCTTCCTTCCTTTGGCTTGAGCTATCCCTTCCTGATTGAATGATTTGGATTAAATCAGTAACAATCTGTGTGAATAGATAAGGTAAAATCTATGGCTTGGATCCTGCCTGCTGCAGCATTGCAGTCCAAATATGTGCTGCATAAGAGTAATTACATCCAAGAAGTGCACACCTGCTACCATGAAGTCTGTTTTGGACAGACCGGGGAAACAAGGCCCTTCATTTTTATATTTACCAGTAAAGAATTTTTTATTGCTGATCTCTTCTAGCACCTGCAGTACTCCTTATACCAACAACAACCTGTCAGGTGGGGGGACTGTGAAGGAACTGTGCCTAGTGCTTCTTGAGACAGATGTGTTCTCCTGGCCCCACTTGCAGCAGGTGGGGCAAAGCAGTCAGGGAGTGGAAGCATTCAACCATAGTCATGTACTGAACTTTCTCTTCATAAGGAAATAACAAAAACATTATTTAAAATAATATTTGACCAAAACCAGACACAAACTACGCTAATGATAAATTAGCAACTGTAAGAGCACTTGGTGTTTTCTTCTCTCTGCATCACAGGCAGCAGTCAAAACCACGAGCCAGACAGATTTTTCATTTCTAAGGTAGTTCGAGGGAGGTTGTATCTGCTGCATCCCATGAATTTGGAATACTCTTCTTTCTGTTTCTAGACACATAAGATTTAGAAAAAGGAAAACAAAAAAGGCAATTGGAGATACAATCACATAATTTAACTTGCACGTCCAGCAAAGGATGATCAGAAAGAACAATTTGACTAACATCAAAATCAGAATTAAAAGATAAATTTCCTTGGCAAAGAATATGACCTTCCTGTCTCTGTGCTCTTTCTGTGCCTGTTGTTCAGCACTACAAACAGGAACCATAGTAACACATTCACCTGCCCTTGTTTTATTACTGCCAATTGTTTAAACAAAACAAGAAAATGACATAGGGCAAATGTCATTTGTTGTGGACAAAAAATACAGCCCAGCTGTACAGTTAATTTTAATGAAGCAAAATTAAAAGAAAACACCTCACTGTTGCAGTGAGGTGTTTGCAGTGACACAAATTCTTTTTTTTCTAGAGGAGGAATGGAGTGTACTTAGAGAGGGCTCTTGCCTGCCATCCTGATGGAGCTGTTGGCTATTTATTGAAAGTCAGTTTACAACCATAAAATCACAGAATCATTGAGGTTGAAGGAGACCTCTAAAATCATTGAGGGCAATCGTTAATCCAGCACTGCTGTGTTCACCGCTAAACACCAAGTGCCACATCCGCATGCCTTTTGAACCCTTCCAGGCATGATGAGTCCACCAGTTCCTCAGACAGGTTGTTCCAATGTTTGACAACCCTTTCCCTGAAGAAATTTTTTCTAACATCCAATCTAAGCCTTCAATTGCACAGCTTTTCCTCCTGTCCTGTTACTTGCTATCTGGAAGAGACCAACCCCCACCTCACTACAAC